GTGTGTGTGTGTGTGTGTGTGTGTGTGTGTGTGTGTGTGTGTGTGTGTGTTTTGGGGGGGGGCGTAGGTTGTTGTGAAGGGAGGGAGAAGGGGAGAAGGGGGGCGAAGCAAGAGTGAGACCGAGCGACTATGCTCGCACACCTGGCGTCCGTGTTGCCGTGGGGACCTTCGCAGGTGAAAGCAACCGGGGCACGCGTGCTCCAGGGCAAACAGCTGTCCCAGCCAAAGCCGAACGTTTCGTGCCCCAGGCGTGCATCCTGCGGCTGGCGCCACCCTTCGCTCCGCCCGTGCCGCCCGGGCCGCCCTCTGCCCCGCAGCCCCGCGCACTTGAAAACGGTCCTGAGCGCCAGGAACTCGGGGTCAAAGGTGTCGTAGAACGGCTCCAGGGCCTGGGGTAGCCGGGGTGGCGGGTTGGATGGTGGGGTGGACGGTGGAGGGTGGCATAACGGGGCAAAGGAGAGGTCAGACATTGAGCACAGCACTGGAGCGGGGCGGGGGGGCGCGAATGCAAGGCTGGGAGACTGCGCAGGACGACCAGGCCGGGGGAGATTCCATCGGCTGTCCAGCGCCCCGGTCGGTGCCATCGACTGCAGCGTCCCTGCAGCACCGCCGCCCCAAAAACATCAACAGACAAGCGCTTGCAAGCACGAAGACGCATCCGCCGACGCGTTCCCCGTGCAGGGGGCCGCCCCACCTTGGTGTACTTGGAGTATGAGATGAGCCAGTTGACTGAGGGGAAGTGCTTGCGCTGGGCCAGCTTCTTGTCCAGCCCCCAGAACACCTGGTTGTAGTGATGTTTTGCGGCGAGGAGGGCGGAATGGCCACATGTTTGCGCGAGTGGTTCGGTGACGAGCGGGTGAGTGTGTGTGTGTGTGTGTGTGACAAGGGGAGCGCAGGAGCCATATGTGTACGCAGGTGGGGAAGGAGCGCTTGGGCGACAGGGGTGCAAGACGGCCATGGAGGCGACGTGTGTTGGTGGGAGGGGGGGAGTGGGACCTCCTACTGGCCTGGCATCATCACTCCTATGTTGGCGTGGTTGGCGGGTGCACGCATTGGCGGCGGCGCCTGGTGGTGGCACAGGCAACACACGGCAGCAGGCTCGCCTCCCTTCAGCAGTGCCCCCCCGCGCGTGGCACCCCCGACGAGAACCGTGTCCTGCCCCCGGCCGCTTGGCCTCACTCGCGCCCCTCCGTGCGCCGCCCCATGCCCGCAGGCGCACCTGCACGATGGCGAGCGTGGCGCTGGTGACGGGGTCGGAGAAGTCGCCTCCGGGAGGTGACACGGCCCCAACGATGGTGACGGAGCCCTCGCGCTTGGGGGAGCCCAGGCACAGGCTGCGGCCGGCGCGCTCGTAGAACGACGCCAGCCTTGGGGGAGCGGGGCAGAGAGAAGGGGGGTGCCAAGGATTTGTACAGGGGAGAAGGTACCTTGGGTGACACTCACACGTCTCACGGGGTGTTTTGCAGGGTGAGGCTTTTGCACGAGCTCGCGCGGCCAATGTCGATGCTCGGCCTGGCGGCGCGCTCTGCTTGGCTGTCAACCACATCCGACCACCCCTGCATGCAGGCCGCCTGCAGGTCCATGCCCAACCCTGCAGAGTTACCCCATGATCACCACTGCCACCATCACCACCACCCAATCAGAGCCTGCCCTGAGTGCCCACCTGGCCCCGAGGTATGCGGGGTAGCCGCTGTCCGCGGGCATCTCTGCGAGGCGCCCGCTGATCTCGCGCAGCGCCTCGGCCCAGCGAGAGGTGGAGTCGCCCATCATGCAGAAGTTGTAGCCCATGTCCCTTTTGATTGAGTGCGTGCGTGCGTGTGTGTGTGTGTGTGTGTGTGTGTGCGTGTGTGTGTGTGCGTGTGTGTGTGTGTGTGTGTGTGTGTGTGTGTGTGTGTGTGTGTGTGTGTGTGCGCGTGCATAATGCGTGCGCACACGTGTGCGCATGCACTTGCATGCGCGTCCGCAGAGCAAAGGCTGGGGTCGGCGGGGCGGTTCCTGAAAGCTTTCAGCAACCGCTCCTCCTACTGACATGTGACGATCCTGTTCCCCAGCCTGGATTTTACACTCGTGAATTGAAACCTCCCTCACCGACTCGCCCCCCCCCTGAACCAAAAATACACGCCTCACACTGCCTCCTGCCCGCCCACCTGAAGTACTCAGCCAGGGTGATGCCCGTGTAGATGGACGCCTCGCGGGCCGCCACAGGCATGTTGGACGTGTTGGCCACCTGGGTGGGGCAGGGTTGGGCCGCAGCGCAGTAACAGGGGTTGAGAGGGTTCGGCGTCGGCATGGGGAACATGGCTGCGGGCGCCTTGAAGAATCGCAGGCAGATCCTTGACCTGGCACCCGCGGCAGCGACCAAACCTGCCTCAAACGCAGGTTGCGGCCGGTGGAGGCGTGGCACGGCGCCATCGCCTCGCGCAGCGCAGCGGCACGGCCCCTACCAGGCAGGTGCGCTTCATGATGGACTCCTCGCGGCCGTCAGGCAGAGTCATGGTCAGCTGGGGGAACTCCATCAGCACCTGACAGCAGCGGCGCGGCGGGGCGGTGGATGGGCGCGGCTCAAGGGCGAGCCCGGCGGCCGCGCTTTGACGCGAGGGCGAAGCGCACCAAGGCCAATCGCAGGCGTGCGGCTGCAGGGACGGGCGGGTCCACACGCAGCTGCCAGGCGGCGCAGCGTCCAGGGTCATCCTGCGCCCGACCCCCACGGCCTTCCCCCCATTGCCATTTGAAGGCCGACCTTCCCCAACCAGCCCTGTTCTGATCCCCAAAACAGGAGATGACGCTCGCTCCTTGCCGTGCTTACTACTAGTCTTCGGAGGCACGGCGACTGCGAGCTCCTTCCCCGGCCCCTCCCAATGCGCGGCTGCGCCCGCACCCCCACCCCGGCCTGAGCACTGCCCCGCCCCAGCCCCTGCCCCAGCCGCCAGGCCTCACCTCCGCCATCTCATTGCCGCGCTCCCCGCAGCCAACGTAGATGACGCCGTCCGCGTTGGAGTACTTGGACAGGGCCTGGGAGATCACGGTCTTGCCGCAGCCGAACGCGCCGGGGATGGAGCACGTGCCTGGAGCATCGGGGAGGGGGGCCGGCGAGCCGTGGGCCAAGGGGGAATGGACCGTGCGAGTGATGGAAAACGATGAGTGGTAGGAGAGATCCTGAGCTGAGCCAACGTGACGAGCAAGCGTGAGCGGGACGCCTGCGTGATTTACGACATACTGCATCAGTAAATGCGGCGTTTGCCAACTGGCCGCGGGTGTGGTGGCGCAGACCGCACGATGCACGCCACTCCGCGTTGCAGGGCTGCGCCGCGACCGCGCACCTCCTAGGACGGCAGGGAACAGGGCGTCCAGCACACGCTGGCCCGTGAGCAGGGGCGTCTCAGCCAGCAGCTTCTGGGCGACGGGGCGCGGGGAGCGCACCTGGCGGAGCGGGAGCAGGACGGAGCAGCGGTGGGTGCGTGCATGTGTGTGGGAGTGCGTGCGTACTTGTGCGTATTGGGAAGGTTGAGCCGGAGCCCCTCTGTCGCACATTGTTCCAGGCACAACCGAAATCACGACGCCACGCCAGGCGCGGGGCGCGCGGAAGCTGTTTTTCTGGAAATAAAGGGCGTAAGTATACAGGGGATTCCCGCATGCATTGAGTTCCGTCGCCCGCGCACCGGCCAGAGCTGCTTCATGCTGAACTTCTTCTTAGCCCCCTGGAACTCGATCTCGATGACCTGTCACGCGGTGTAGGGTTGAGGTGATGACGTCATGTGAACGTCTTCAGGGCATTGATGGGGCATGTGTTCACAGTCATGTGTGATGTTGGCTGCCAGCATGGGGGCCGCAGCTGCCAAGCCCAAGACGCGTGCAGACGTCCAGCGTGGGCAGCGTTCGCTGAGGCTGCACTTGCCCCTTACCTCGTCGTTGACGGTGTAGTGGCCGGCGGGGGCAATGTAGGAGATCGTGCCACGGGCGTTGGGCGGCAGGAGAACCTGACGGCACAACGAGGGTTTTTTTTGACGCCGAGGGGAGCGAGGCAGGCGGGGTTCGTGAGCGCGCTGCGGTGGGATGTCGTACTTGTGGTGCAAACCAGCGCACAGTGTCTGCTCGAAGTGACACCCGTCACGTGTCGCGAAAGGCAGCGGATTCACGCGCAATGGAGCCCGTCTTCAAGCACGCCCATCGGCATGCACCTGCCGCCATAGCCGCGCCACCGCCAAGCACGCAGGACACCCTTCGTCAGAACACCCCCCCCCTACAAACTGGGCCCCCGTCTGGCCCCAACACATGCCTTGTGGTCCATGAGGGTGTTCTCCTTGACAGTGGCGTAGATGTCGCCAGCTGTGATGCGGTCGCCGACCTGGGCAAGGCATGGGCGCATGGGCGCATGGGTGCATGAGCCAAGGTTCGCGCGCGCTCATGCTATTGCTTGCCCTGGCGCCATGAGAATCAGCTCTTTGTCGCGCACACCCAGCGACCGTCGTGGCCATGACGCGGCCGGCCAGAAGCCACCCAGTTTCTCTCAACGCTGCTCGTGGGCAGATGCATGCGTGTGGGCTTTCGCACTCACCGATGTCAGCGTTCACGCTCACCTTGAACCCGGTGGGAGCAAACTCCCATGCGATTGACTGGTCGAGGGCAGGCACAGCCACTCCGCGAGGGATGAACACGTCGCCTGCACCCAACACACGGGGTCGCATATCAAAATTTGTGAGTTGAGGCGTGTTTCGAGGGTCGCAACTCCATTTACCTGCGCCCTCCACGCTGCGGCTGTGTGCATGCAGTCTGGTAGAGTGGTTCAAGACTCTTTACCCCCCCCCCCCCAACTTGCCCCGCAGCACCCGGCTGAAGCTGCTGCATGCGGTGCCAGACGCCACCATGCAGGTGGGGCTGCTGACGACACTGCTGCAGCAGCGCAGCCGCGCGCACCGCTCTGCTGCGCGATGGCCTTGAGGGGCCGCTGGATTCCGTCAAAGATGTTCCCCATGAGGCCAGGGCCGAGCTCCACTGACAGGGGCTGCGGCAATGGCGATCACATGGGCGGGGGTTGCCAGTGAGTCGAAACACGCAATCCAATGCAAGGTCAAGCACTCTGCAGGCAGCAGCCAACCAGCTGCCTGGACTGCTCATAGTCAATGCAAGACGAGGTCATTACCCATCTGCTACTGCGAGTGTTGGGGGGGGGGTGCCAGCTGGCAGCCCGGCGCAGTCCGGCCATGCTGCTGGTGTTCCCAGGTGCGGCCCACCTTCTTAGTGCGAGTCACCAGATCCCCAACTGTCAGGCCAGCCGTCTCCTCATACACCTGGTGTATTTTTACGAGCACGCATCGGCCGCAGTCGCCAGAGGGAGGTGCCATCCACTGCTCAGATACGCTTCCACACCTGCCCCGGTCTGTATCAACGCTGTTGAGACGGACAACTCACAAGCTGCTCATATCAACTCGCATGGTATAACGTCAACACCAGTGTCGCACCACGCCGCCACCACTAGGAGCCTGGCGCTCAGTCGCTGCAGGCGTGAGCCCTCTAGCAAACACAGCGGCTGGCACAGTCCTGCGCTGCGGCGCACGCGCGTTCGCCGCGCCTGTGTCGCACCAGGATCGCCCAGGCGTCGGTGCAGGGCTATACTGTTGGCGTGCGCGCTCACCTGGATGGTAGCAGTGTCGCCCTCCAGCCTGATGATCTCCCCGATCAGGGAGTCGTTGCCGACACGCACCAGCTCGTACATGGCGGATCCCGACATGTGGTCCGCCACCACCACGGGGCCAGACACTTTCCGGACGTACCTGAAACAAACGATCAGCGGTGTTTGGCGAGCGGCGGGCGTGCATACCCCGCCCCCTTGGCAAGGGCTGTGGGTGCCAAAGCGAAGCCCCAGATCACTCAAAAGCACAGCCCTGCAGCTCAGCTCACCCATAGTCAGACTCCTTGTCATAACGGTCCGCCATCTCGCCCCTGATACGACCGCGCTCGGCCGGGGGATCACTGCTGTTGCACCACTGGCCTTGCTGCCTGCTGCACCGCTACGTGAAACCAGACCGTTTCTGTTCGCTGAACCGAAGAGCAATCCTTGATAACGTTCCGTTCGCACAAGCCACGCAGGAAAATCAAAGCCCTGCATAGTGTGCCAAGGCAGCTTCGCCCCATGCAGTAATCATGTTGCAACCCCGGCTTTGACAGTCGACCTGGGGGGAAGTTGTTTATGTTAGCCGTCCTCGTGAAATGATTGCAGCAGACGCACACACACGTCAAGCAGTGAGCGCCGCACTGGACACCAGCCAGTCCATCCTGCTGTGACCACTGCTGTATGGGGGACTGATGATGCAGACTTGAATCGAGCAAGCCCTGCAGCAGCTCGAGCTGGGCCTTGCTGAGGCACCATGAAGCGCCATTGACATCAATCATCATGTGTTGCGTGGCAGTCGTGGTGCAGGGCGGCAGCAAGGCTGCCATGCCTGTGTTGTGTCCGCGTCGGGTGCCGCTCCTCGCTCCCCGTGCGCATGAGCCGGCTGATTTTGTGCAAAAGCGGCAGTGGGCAGGCCTGGGGGATGTCGACTCAATTGTATTGATTGCATGCCTGCTGTCAAGTGTTTTGTCAAAGACGTGGCCCGCGGTACCGTAACAGAAGCCACGAGGGTGACATAAGTTCAGGGTCGCACACAGGGCAACATAAAGTGATGCTGCAATTGGCGAAGCCCCAAGTTTACACTCTAGTCAGGCTTGTTCGTTCGGCTCGTTGAGAACCCTGTGCTGGCTGCACCGCCTCAGTGGTGTGGGACCACACTTTCGCCACAGCAAGCGAGCAGACACATGCCCCTACCCACATCCTTTTTAACCTCCACACACCCCCTCCAAGCGCACATGTTTGATCGGGGTTTGGATGATGCCCGGGCGTGACCTGACGCGCACGTGTGCCAAGCGCACTAACCCGCAGATCAGCCAAGGAGCATGGCACACTGGCAGGTCATTTGCAACACACCGGTCTGCAGAGTGTGGGGACAACATGGAGATGAATGTTTCACAACTCACGAAGGGACCCGCAAGGGGCCCACACGTCACATGTGTCTGATAAGGCTCCTGCAGGTTGCAAATGCACTCGCCGAGCGGCGCTGCTGACCGTGCGTCAGCTCTGACCGGTGGCGTTGCGTACGCAACCCTGCAGGCCTTTCACCGGATCAGGTATGCCTCTAATTGTGACTCGGAAAGTCTTGTTGCCAAACCACACTGTCTGCTGTCGAGATTCCCGGGCAATGGACGGGCGCGTTCGTTGTTGCTTCTTTGCTTGCGAGCCCCTGCCTCTGCTATGCACAACGACTGAATTTGATAACCGTAGATTGATTGTCGTACTGCAGCTTAAAGGCAGGTACATCTGCGAGGGACAGAGGCCGATTCCGCGTTCCACACACTCGCCCTGCCATCGCTGGCCTCTCGTCCCCCGGCACTGTGCCAGCCTCCATCAGGAGCAGTGCACACCGGGATTCAAACACAGCATGTGCTAGGGCGACCACGCGCGCCATTGGCGCAGGGAGCACTGTCAGAGCAGCACCTCACGGACTGCAGCTCGTAGCGCACCATCGGCGGGCAGACAGACATCAAAACAGAGGGCACGCGTATTGTTGGGACCGCGATGGCGTCTCGTGAGCTGCGTGAACAGCTGGAGGGCTTGGAGCTGGATGAGGTCTGGCCTGATGAGGACGAGGACGACTTGGTGAGGGCACGGGCGTCGTCGGCACTTACGCGTATTGCGAGGCCGTCATGCTGCAACAGCACGGCGAGGATGGGCCACGCCAGCCAGCGAGTCGGACGAGCGGGGCTCGCAGCAGCTGCTGTTGCCTCGCCGGCGACCCCCCACGTCCTCGCGGCCACTGCTCTTCTGATCCTGTTTTCCTCATGCCTGTACCTCAGGAGGATCAAAACCATGATGACTGCCGTGAAGGCGGCAGTGGTGGCGGCGCATGTGACGACAGCGGCCCTGACGACCTGACGTGCGCGATCTGCCTGTGCCAGATCCAGCCCCTTGACTTGGCGCTGGTCAAGGGCTGCGAGCACCAGTACTGCGGTGCGCGTGTCGGGCATGGTGGCGGCCGAGGGGACCTGAGCAGACACACTTGCGCTGCACGGCGCCGCGCATGGATGTGGTGCAGCAGCTCCGCGGTCGCCGCTGGGCCCAGCAGGGTCTGCGAGTGCCCAGC